CTCTACCTCTCGTGTCGTTCGTCGTGTACTATACGTATATATATATATATATATATATATATATATATATATATATATTATATATATATATTTATACATACACATATATATATTGTTAAGGAATACCTTTGTCGCTGCTCCGATCCATCCGACTTCATTATCGGGTATTCGGCAACCTGAGACTCATCAACAACGGTGAACAGTATTCTATGTGAAGCGGAGGAGAAATAGAATAAGGTTAAAATCAAAGTATGTGCCGGACGTAGGTTTGGGAAAAAGCAGCTTATTGCGCTGAACTCTACATACATCAAGGGGGAGAGATATGCTTTGTTACTGTAGTCGCAACCGAATCACTAGACCCATGTTTGACATCCTATAGTCAGATATATATATATATATAGGCACCCGACCAACTATCCCCCACAAGACACTCCTTCCAGAACCATACCTATCGGTTGTATTTGCACCAGTACATACAAATGTATCGTAAGCGCACGTTGGAAATGTAAAGCTTCAGATCATTCAGTGCATATGCATGCAGACAAAGCATAGACCCATATCCCAATGTCTGCTCATATAGTAAGGCATTACCTGTGAATGGGTTGAGAGTCTGTGGTGCTGATGCAAGGCTGCCACCAGTAGCTAGTGAAACGATCGAACTCTTCTTGCATCACGTGTTCCGCTACCCCGGCTGAGACTCCTTTCCCTGTTCAGTGCCGGCACGGGATAGTGGATTAAGCACAAAAGGTAAGATACTTTAACATTCACATGAGAGCATATGCAGGTTAGTTAATCCAGGAGCAAAACGTCTGAGAAAGACACAAAGCCTATGCATGTTAAGTATGTAATATATTTATGTTTGGATGTATTTCTAATAAGTAGAGGCCTTTGTTGCGTTATAGCCTTTCACGCCATCGCACCAGCAAACCTCTCGAGTATAATTAAATGGGACATCGATTTGGACAGGAAACAGGTGAGCGACCAGGAGAGTGGCCAGATTCTACTATAGCAGAAGGCTTCAATACACCATACGTTAGTTCTAGAAGTACAAGAATGTTCGGCGCCAACTGTGAACAACCCAATGGGCACGCTGTAATCGGGGAAACTGGCTTGGTAATGTGTAGTAGGTAACCGACACTATGGCACGGCATGCGACAACTTTAAGTAGGACGGTTGTCAGACACGACAGATGCATAGGCAGCAGAATGCAGGACGATGCTTTCTACTATAGTGCGTGTTGTGTGCGTTGTGTATAGCACAAGTAGTGTGTGATGTGAGCATACTACAAATAGAGTGTGAGCTGTGTATAGTAGAAGTAGCGCGTCAGCTGTGTATAGTACTAGTAGTTTATGAGTTGTGTATAGTACAGGTAGTGTGTGAGTTGTGTATAGTACACGTAGTGTGTGAGTTGTGTATAGTACAAGTAGTGTGTGAGCCGTGTATAGTACAAGTAGTGTGTGAGCTGTGTGTGATACAACAGATAACCCCAAGCAGAACACTTGCAATGGTGTATAACGCGTCAACCGTTGGCCTGATTGTGAGCAGAGAAGGCACGTGAAATGCCGAATAGCTGCATACACACACAGAGAGAGAGATGCGAAGTTTCAGTGATGAGGTACAAACATCAGGACGGATTTATATCCTGTGACAAACTAACAAATGGCGTATCGTTCTTGTTCAGAGCCAATGCGCAATTTATGTGTTCTCATATACTTGATGTTATGTGTTAAGCGTCATCCACCATGTGTCATATGTTGTATGGCATTTGTATCTCGTCGCATGCCGCGTCCTGTGTGTCAGATCTGAAGTGTCACATGACACATGTCACGTGCCACGTTTTGATAGTTACGTATCACGTATCATGCGCCACATGAGTTGTCAAGCGTCACCAACCGTCAGTACCAGTTAAGTACTTGTGCTATGTTTTCCATCACGCGATAGCACCAAACGCCGAACGTTCGACCTCATAAGATGGGTCATATGCTGTGCTTAATCCATTATGTGGTAAGTGTACAACCGTTATACCAGGCAGTACGTGTCAGGTGCCAATTATCATGCAACGTAAGGCATACTGTGTGCCCTCCATCATGCTGCGAGTGTTCAGGTTATGCAGGAGGTGTTATGTGTCGATTATAATTATCATGCAACATAAGCAACTTATGCTGTATCACATATTGTGTGCCCTCCATCATGCTGCGAGTGTTCATGTTATGCATGAGATGTTATGCGTCAAATATAATTATCATGCAACATAAGCAACTTATGTTGTATCACATACTGTGTGGCCTCCATCATGCCGCGAGTGTACATGTTATGCATGAGGTGTAACGTGTCAGGTGGCATCTATTAATTTACCGTAGTCATATGTGTGCCATTACCATTATCAAGTACCAGAACGTGACTATCATTTTGCCTTAGCCCGAATTGCATAGCCGTGACACAGGTTAATCAGCACACACGCGCCCGTGCACTACCGATCCAGACAGACGACCCAAGCTTGCTATGAAACCGCTACATATTCCAAACTCATGCCACCTGCACGGACACGCCGACACACCGTGTCTATATGAACAAAACAACATACTATTCCACAAACCCACACAGGAAAAGACGCACACACACGCAGATAGCGATAGGTTATATCCACGCACACACCAATGCACATACTTCCGCTGGTATACGCGCTGGAGATGCATATCTCCTCTTTCGTGGCGGTGTTGGCCACCCACACATCGCCGCAGCGCACGAAACTGATCAGATCCTTATGAGTGGGGCACACTTTCACATCCACACGCACACTCTCGGATTGCGGCAGGATGTTGCTGTGCGTGTACTTGTGTTTAGACGCTTTCGCAGTCCCCTCTGTTTGCGACCGGGTGTTCGTGTGCGTGTGCGTGTGTGTGTGTGTGTAAGCCTGCACCTGCTTGTGTTTGTGTGCCCGAGTAGTCTGTTGAGCGCCACTGCTCTTTTGCGGTAGTGCCGTCGCGTAGACATCACTTCGGGTCGCCACCAGTACTTCGTTGCGGAAGGGGTTGATGGCAAAGGACTTGGCGTGTGGCGACTGCCCCGATACAGAGGCTTTCCCACCCTTCCTATCACCCAGTAACACACTCGCCGACATAAGCATGGTATGCATCAACTTCGCATTCGGGTGCGAGTTTGGCTGCTCCTGTGCGGTCGTTTGCTCCAGCAGTGAGCGTTGGGTGAACACGGGCGAGCGTATCAACGCCCGTGAGGTGTTGGGTGGTATTTGGGACAGATCTACACTATACACACCGTGCTCACGCGTGTTGCCATCGTAACCAAGCATGTACAAGCTCGCACTATCGCTACTGAATACCACGCCACGTGTGCTGAGCAGACTACGCTGTAGGGAGCGTTGTACCCGAATCAGCTTCCTGACATCGTCCAATAAGATTTGGGGATTGCTCCGCGTCCAATGTATGGACTCTGTACCGCTATACACAGACGGCTGTGTGTCGTCGTAGACAGACGTGCTTGTGCTGTCATAAATAGATACACGTGTGTCATTCTCATACATCGCAGTATGCGTGTGCGCATGCGTGTGCGTGTTAGTTTGAGCTGCTGTATCGCTATCGCCAGGTATTTGTGCGCGTCTGTGTATGTGTGCTTCAGAAGTAGGTCCGTGTACGTGGTTGTGTGCGAACAACTTGAGCCCTTCCATCGCTCTTGGCTGCGTCATGTTACCCGTGTGTGCGTATGTAGCTTCGTTTATATCTCGAATCTCTCGTCGTTCACAGTTAAGTGCATGGTCATGACCCCTACTCATCTCGTGTGCATCTGCATCATCATTAACATTATCACCCTCTTGTGATCCAGTCACAGCTGTGTGAGCATGCATATGGTCGTGCCGGCTTCGTGGATTATGTGGATGTGGTTGTGTACGCATGCATTGCACGCGATGTGTACGTCTATCATGTGCTTTGGCAGATGGTCCGTGTAGTTGTGACGGGGCGCCTCGTGTGTGCGTGCCTTTAGTAATGGCCTTAATCGCGTGAGGGGTTGTACGTTGTCTGGTGTGTGTATCGCTAGTATTATTCCTTACGTGTGCACATCTATTCTTAACACACCCGCCTTGATCCCTATGGAGACTGTTATTACAACTCATACGCTGTATATGGTCAAGCTTTGTGCATTGTGTGCATTTTATGTCGTGTGTGTTTGTGTGGGTGATATCACATGTTGGATCATCACTAGCATATTTCGTAACGTCAACATACTCATACGCACTTGTAAAAGACTGATCAGTGTGTTCTGATGTGTTGCTAGCAACCTCATCGTCATCGTGCGACAGATATGGGTTGTTGTCACGACTGCCTGGAAAACCGGTCATGTTAAACAATAGTGACAGATGCGTATGCATATGGTCAGTTTAGTTGCAACCTCACGTTGCTGGATGGCAGTATTGCTTATACCATTGGTTTAATAATAGATTTATAGTGCCAGGACATTCATACATACTTATCCCATTATACTACGTTTAAACGCGCATATCCATAAACATTAGAAACACAGCATTATACAATGGCTCTGCAGTCTGCGCAGTTGGTGACTTGGAGTCATTCGATTCCTGCTGGGTTGAAAACTTGAAATACGTGTACTATGTAGAATTGTAGATTGTTCGGTCGAGCTACGTTGTATGTAGCGTCGATAAGTACAGCTTACATATCAATTTATTAGTATGGCCCAATAGGACAAGCCAATAGACCCCTCGTAAGGACTAGGGATTCCCCAATTATAATGTTGCAATCAGAAATTCTATCTGAATTTCTAATCAATGAAACCAAGTATTCGCCAATGAAATATTATAAATTACATATTTTTACGAATGGTATCAGAAATATTAGACAAGCCCTCACCTGTATGTTTCAATTCTCGAATAATGTACTAAGTATCCATCAACCGAAGCCATATATAGTATAATATTTTTAGTATGTATACTAAAATAAATACAAAATATGTATACACATAACATAGTTGTACAGGTCAGTGAGTCAGTGAGATTATAGAGCAATGAGAGCATTGGTATTTGGTGCTGGTATGTACAGAAAAGTTTCCTTTGCCATGGTAAATTCAAAAATCAATCAATCAAAAACAATGAAAATCCTACATAAACATACATAGTAAAATACTAATAAATAGACTGTAGAGAACTAGTAGCAGAGACCCCAAGACGGCCCAGACGCCCCAGAGTCCCAGACTCTCTCGAATCGACTCTCGAGTCTCGACTTCGTACCCGCACAACAGTGCAATCTCAAGACTCATCAAGTCTAATCTGCTTTTACTTTTCTCATGTAAGTTGCATAGCCTCCTTCTGTTCAATTTAGACGAAGGCTATATGTATGGTGATTGGTGGGTCTATGGGATTTGCCGAATGAGTCTCTTGAAAACTAGAAAACATAAACATCCAATAAAAAGACAAATCATTTTTTTGGCGGGAGAAACGTGGGTCTAAGCGACTACGACTCTCCTAGAGTACGGGGCATTCCGCTTTCGTGTTGTTTTCCGCTTTCTTGAGTGTGTGAATGAACATGTCTATATGAGGATGCGGGTGTAATGCGAGCTATATGTCTGTTAGTTTACATGTTTGTAAATGTAAGTTACATACATACCATATCGTTCGTGTTGTTAAGCGTAAGATATATGATATTTAATAGGTACATATAGCTTGGCCTTGAATCCTAGTTACACACATCAGCGAACATAGTCACGTAAAACGTTCACAACCACAATCACGCAATCACGCGCACAATGTCTGTAGAAGACGCGGCGTTGAATGTCATACTCGGTGTTGACAACACCAAGCTAATCAAAGATGCAAAGGTTCTTGTCGTAGGGGCAGGTGGGATAGGATGTGAGCTTCTAAAGTCGCTTGTAATGGCAGGCTTCATGAACCTGGAGGTGATTGATCTGGATACAATCGATGTGAGCAATCTGAACAGACAATTCTTGTTCCGCAAGGAGCACGTGGGCAAGTCCAAATCTTTGGTATGCATTGCACGAGTGAACGATTGATTGATTGTGTGTACACATTTGATTTTCGTCTTATATGTATAAATATCTATTTATCATTTCTTGAAAGGTGTTTGTATTTTTCTCGTATACACATTCGAGTTTGAACTTGTATACATGTTTCTGTATTGTCTTTCTACTACTATGTAACAGATAGTTGGCGCACAATCTTGCCAGCTTTCAGGAAACGTAATATTACCATTTATATGTTTAGCAAGCCACCATTTCGCAGTCAAAGAATGAAAGCTGAACGCAAAACATGGAGCACGTACTTTGATTTGATGTAAACCAGTCAAGTGTACATATATGAGTTGTGTGAATCTATGAATGCGTGCATGTGTATACGATTAGTCTTGGTTGTTTAATCACCTTAATTGTGATCTCCTTGTATCGCGAGTGAGAGTCATCTCGGTGGCAGGCTTGTATTCCTGCTTCGCACTGAATAGAGAGCACGGAAATTCTACCCATTTTATTCAACATCATCTCACACGCACACACGCAGGCACGTACACATACACATATATATACACACACACTTACATCCATACACACACACACGCACACATAAACTATACATATATATATATATATATATATATATATATATATGTGTGTGTGTGTGTAGTATAATATATGTGTGTGTA